TAGTGACAGTCACTAGAATAACATGCCTTTTTGACAACTTTTGCCAGGTGTTATGATAAATCTTTTTGCCAAAAGCCACCTGAGCCCCACTGCCATGTGCGAGTTTTATGCCAGCCGCCTGCCCGAGTTAGGCCCAAATGAATACCCAGAGAGACTTGTATTAGTTACAAAGCTGCTTGGCCAATGACTAGGATTCTCATTTGTTAGCTCAGTCTCAATTACCATACATCTATATATTTTATGGGACTTACCTTATTGGATGCCTATTTGGCGTCGCTCCTTGCTGGTGAATCACATTGTACCACTGAAGCAGGAGCCGAGGGGAAAAGAGAGCCCTTCCTGTTTCTCTTTTGCTTAAATATGAGTCTCCTTGCTATGTCACTTCCTGCCTGGATCAGCACTTCTCTACTACATTTCCCAGAATCCTCTTTGATTCCTACTTTCGTCTAACTTGCTGTCTCATTGGCCAAACAGTATTTTATTCAATAATCAATAAGATAAACATACACAGTAGTACATTCCCCATCAGCCAGGCTTTGTGGATTCTTTTCAACAATAGGCATGTTATATAGAGCTGGAAAATTATCGGAGAAATAATTTGTTATCATTTCAGACTTAGATCTTACAACCTCATCTGTTCTGTCCTCTTTGATGATGGCCACACAGACAACCACTTACCTTTTTAGAAAATAATACCCATAATTACCTCATGAGTAGAGGAAAAAACTGCCTGAGACAGAATACTGTCTAAATAATAAAATGTTGTATAATATACTCAAAGAAAATATGAGAACCTGAAAACATGCTTATTTTAAAAAGAAAGAAAAAAGGCAAAAAAAAAAAGAAAAACCAGACTGAAGTCCTGCATATGTTTGTGTCTGTTACAAAAGACCTAGAAGAAATTCTGCAGCTAATGATGAGGCAGCCATCCAAAGTATCCATTGAACACTCTCACAGCAAATGGACAAATGGAAAACAGAGCCTGGAGGACAGAAGTGAAACAATATTTAAAGAAAAAGGCATCGATAATTGCAAGTGTATGCATATTTTTGTTTTTAAAAACTGATGTCAGAATGAAATGTGTAAAACCTTAAAAAATCACACTGACTACATGGGCTATATTCAAGAATAACTAGGCCAGGTATTTTGATCTTTGGGACCTTATAAGAACATTTTTCTATTGACTCAGTAATCAATTAATAGGTCACTTTTATATGTTATGTGTTATTAATGAATACATGGGCTTTCAGTAAATGAAGGGGGAAAGACATCCCAGAAAATAGCAGTGTGAAAATAATAGGAATTACACAGACAATGTTTAGGGAGCCAGTTTCAGGGACTGGCATAGAAGATGCTTGTGAGAGATAGGATTAAAACACAGCAATTTGGTACCATTTCACAATTATCATGTGCCTTTCAGAGAAGGCAGAGATTCACAAAAGTAAAGTAAAGGTCTCACTTGGAGATCTCTTATTAATCTGTTAGAGCCTACTAAGAATTCTACATACACTCCAGATTGTTTGCTTTTCCGGTCAACAATGATAAATATATATATAGCCAGTTGACTTTACAGAAGATATAGCTAAATATCGAGACACATTTGTCCTACCTTAAAACAAAACTCTCTTCATCAACCTGAGTAAATCCCCAAGGAGAGAACAATTATCCTTCAAAAAATGTATATGCTTCCCCTGAATAGACCTATCTGGGCAATATCCAGAGCTCAAAAGTTCAGCTGCAAATAGAAACTCAGCTTTCTCCTTTCAAAAACATGCACATGAACTGGTGACATGGTTCAGACAGTAAAGGTGACTGCTACCAAGCCTGATGACCTGAGTTTGATCCCCAAAACCCACATGGTAGAAGAGAACTAATTGATTGATTGGTTGATTGATTAAACGCAATAAAAAATTAAAAGACACATACTTCCTAGTCAATACAGCTTCTCTCTGGAACAAAGGAGATGAGTTAAGAGCATAATTTGATTTCTACTAAGTCTGTTACACTCAGTCCACTCATCCAGAGAACACTACTTAAGAAAGCAGACTGCAGATGAGTGGTGGAGGTGCACACCTTTAATCCCAGCACTCGGGAGGCAGAGGCAGGTGGATTTCTGTGAGTTCGAGGCCAGCCAGAGCAACACACAGAGAAACCCTGTCTTGAAAAAAAAAAAAAAAAAACAAGCAAGCAGATTGCATAAATGATTGGTATGTTATAGAGGCTTTTATTTTCTTTTTTGGTCATCTGAAGTACTCTCAATTTCCATTACAGGATGAGCAGGAAAGTGTAAAGGTGAAGCAATAACATGAGCACTACTGGAACCTCACATGTAAGTGTTTCTTTCTTTTTGCTTTTTCAAGACAGGGTTTCTCTATGTAGCTCTCGCTGTCCTGGAACTCATTTTGTAGACCAGGCTGGGATCAAACTCACAGAGACCCATCCTCCTCTGCCACGTGCCGCCATACTGGGATGTTACCCGTTTTCTTAAAGACTGTCATTGTGATTACAATTAGATTGACTCTCAAAGTAATTTGATTTTAATTTCCTGGATGACTAATGTGTCCATTTCTTTTCTTGTTTTTGAGAGAAAGTGTCTGAAAAAAAAACAATTTAAGGGAGGAAGGATTTATTCTGGCCCACAAATTGAAGATTGAGATTGAGGAAGACATGACAACAGGAGTGTGAGGCAGCTAGTCACACTAAGTCCCAGTCAGGAAACAGAAAGAAAATGCTGATGTTCATCTATCTTTCTCCTATTTTATGCAACCAGGACTCTGTCCACAGAATGATGCCTCCCAGGGGTTAGGTTTTAATTAACCTAATCTAGATACTCCTTCACAGACTCATCCAGGGGCTGGTTTCTGTGGTGATTTTAGATCCTGCCAAATTGACAATCAATATTAACTATCACAGCTAGTAAGGCTGAATGGTTTTTTTATGTATTTATTGGTCATTTGTACTTTATCCTTTGAGAGAACTATCTGTTTATTTCATTGATTGAGTTGTTTGATTTCTGTAGGGTTTTTTTTCACTCTTTGTGCATTCTCTGTATTAAGCCTCTGTTTGCTATGCAGCTGGCAAAGACTTCCTCCCGTTCTACAGGCTGCCTTTTCACTTAGTTGTTTCCTTTGCAGCTTGGAGCTTTCTTCATTTCATGAATCCCACTTGTTGATTGTTAGGCTTGTTTCCTGAGCAAATAGAGTCCTGCTCAGGAATCCTTGCTTATGTTTGAAATGTTTTCTCTCCTTTTACTCATGACAGTTTCAGAGTTTAAAGTATCATATTATTGACTCTGATCCACTTGGAGTCGACTTTTGTAGAGGCTAACAGACAGGGATCTAGCTTCATTCTTCTTTATATGGATAGCCAGATCTCCCAGCATCATTTGATGAGGAAACTGACCTCTTTTTTTTACATCTTTATAATCAGTTGACTGTATTTACATGGGTTTATATCATGGTCCTCCATTCTATTCCATTTATCTACGTGTCTCTTTTTGTGCCATTAGCATGCTACTTTGTTCCTGTCGCTGTATAGTATAACTTGAAATCAGTTTTCATATCTACAGCATTCTTTTTTATGTGCAAATTGCTTTGACTATCTAGAATCTTTTGTGCGTCCATCACTGTCCATCCATTCCTTTGAGACTGGGTCACAAATTGAGCCTGCAGCTAGGCTGGTGACCAGCAAGCCTCAGTGATCCTGCTGTCTCTATCCCTAACAATGCTAAGGTTATGGACACATGCGCAGCCATGCCTGACTTTTTTTAAGTGTAGGTTCTGAGGATTCAACCTTAGGTCCTTTTCTTATTTATCAAGTGCTTCTACTCACTGAATCATTTGGTTAGCCACTAAGATATTTTTATGACAACTGCAAATGGGGTTGTTTTCTTGATTTAATTATCAGCACGTTTGTTATTTGTACATCTAGTGATTTTTGTGGGATAATTTTGTATTCTGCCATTTTGCTGCAAGTATTTGTCAAATCTATGAGTTTTCTGATATAATCTATTATGTATAGAATTATATCATTGCACATAAGGATACTTTGACTTCTTCCTTTCCTATCTGTATCCCTCTTATTTCTTTCTCTTGTTGCTTTAGCTAAGACTTCAGATACTATATTAAATAAGATATATTCAAGATATATATTAAAGCAGAGACCAGTGCGGGTGGAGGGTGTGGACCGACCCTCCAAGTGTTCCAAGTGTGACAAGACTGTGTACTTTGCTGAGAAGGTGAGCTCCCTGGGCAAGGACTGGCACAAGTTCTGTCTCAAGTGTGAACGCTGCAACAAGACGCTGACCCCCCCCCCAGGGGCCATGCTGAGCATGATGGGAAACCTTTCTGCCACAAGCCCTCCTATGCCACACTGTTTGGACCCAAGGCATGAATATAGCAGGCGCTGGTTCCTACATCTACGAGAAGCCTCTGACTGAGGACCCTCAGGTCATTGGCCCCGTCGAGGTCCCTGTGGAGCGAACCGAGGAGCAGAAGACCGGCGGGCCCCCCCCCCCCGCCAAGGGTCCCAGCAAAACCTCTAGTGTCACCACATGCACTAGGGAACCCAACATGTGTCCTCGATGCAACAAGAGGGTGTACTTTTCTGAGGAGGTGACCTCTCTGGGCTGGCACCGGCCCTGCCTGAGCTGTGAGCGCTGTTCCAAGACACTGACCCCTGGCGGGCATGCTGAGCATGACGGCCAGCCATACTGCCACAAGTCTTGCTATGGAATTCTCTTCGGACCCAAGGGAGTGAATACCGGTGCTGTGGGCAGCTGTATCTCTGACAAGGACCCTGAAGGCACAGTTCAACCTTAAATCTGCAGATGCTGTACTCAGAGTCCCCTGCTTGACCCTGAGGGAAAATGACCTGCTGCCTAGCCCTGCCTCAGTGTGTCTTGACTGCAAACCCCGGGGCCTGAGTGGTTGAGGAAGAAGCCTGCTGGGTAGTGTCCAGAACAGCCCAGAATTCCAACCCTATTTCTTTGTCACCTCGGCATGTCCTGTGTTACCCACTGCCCCCTTTGTGTCTATGTGCCTCCGTAGCCTCATGTGTCCTGTGTCCCCGTGCCCAGCATTCTCTCTGTCCCTGTGTCCCCATGTCCCTGATAGCTCTCCGAGGTGGCTGTCCTATAATATCTCTGTTGCCCACACCTGCCCACCAGTATTATTTATGCTCTGCTTGATGGAGGGGCTAGGGGAGAAGAGGGAGAGGCAAGTGTGGCCAGGGTGTATAATAAAAAAGTAAATAAGCTTTATTTAATGAAAATATCAGCATCGGAAATCGGGTGTCTGATGCTAGGCGGTAGTGGCGCACATCTTTAATCCCAGCACTTGGGAGGCAGACGCAAAGGCAGGCAGATCTCTGTGAGTTCGAGACCAGCCTGGTCTACAAAGAGCTAGTTCCAGGACAGCCTCCAAAGCCACAGAGAAACCCTGTCTCGAAAAAAACAAACAAACATACAAAAAAGAAAAGAAAGAAATTGAGTGTTTGAAGTGCTGCCTTCTAAGGGCTGACTTTTTTCCCTTACAACCTCACCCAACCCTTGCCAAGGAGCCAAGCCAGCTGCACAACCCCTCAGTCTGAAAGGATTCCTCCTTCCCCAGCTCTAGCCAGAGGGTGAGAGCCAGATGAGCCTAGGGCAGTGGGACAGATGCCACCACAAGTCACCAAGTGGGAAGTGACTAGGAACAAACAGTCAGATCCTTTACAGTAGCCAAATAAGGAATAGCTCCCAGGATGCTAACTGTAAAATAGATTAGATATAAGCAAGGGTTAACTGCCTTGAGGACAGTTGTGCGGGCATTTCACCTTCCTGTAGAGGAGCAAGCATCTGCTCAACACCAAGAAATATCCCACTAGGGCTCCTTCCCTCTCATCTACCAAGGATCCTTAGACTGAGGCCATTCTACTCCCTCTCTCGTTGTGGAGCTTGGAGCTTACAAAATCCACTGGGGAGGAGATCTGGGAAGAGGAAGACAGAGAGTGGGTTACCAGAGAGATACCATATAGCTGCCAAGGACGAAAGAGACCCAGGCATCACGGTCGTTTGGCTTGCATGTATACTATGCACCACTTGTGTGCCTGGTGCCAGCAGAAAAAGGTGTCGGAGCCCCTGAGATGAATTAAGGTGGAAGCGAGCCATCACGTGGGTGCTGGGTATTGAATCATGGCCCTCTGGAAGAACAGACAGGTTTTTTGTTGTTGTTGTTGTTGTTGTTGTTTGTTTGTTTTGTTTTTTGTTTTGTTTTGTTTGGTTTGGTTTTTCGAGTCAGGGTTTCCCTGTGGCTTTGGAGCCTGCCCTGGAACTAGATCTTGTAAACCAGGCTG